GTACTGCAACTCCTGCTTTTTCCTCCTTATTTGTTGCATGAATATCTTTTTCCATCCCTTTATTTTCAGTCTGTGTATGTCTTTGGGTTTGAAGTAAGTCTCTTGTAGGCAACATATAGATCAGTCTTATTTTTTTTATCCATTCAGTGACCCTATGTCTTTTGATTGGTGCATTCAGACCATTTACATTTAGGGTCATTATTGATAGGGATGTACTTATTACCATTGGAGGCTTTAGATTCATGGTTAACAAAGGTTCAAGGGTAACTTCCTTACTATCTAAGAGTCTAACTTAACTCACTTAATATGCTCTCACAAACACAATCTAAAGGTTTTTTTCCCCCTCTTTTTCTTCCTCCTCCATTCTTTATATATTAGGTATCATATTCTGTACTCTTTGTACATTCCTTTTTATTACCTCTGGTGACAGCTATTTAACCTTAGGAACACTTCCATCTATAGCAGTCCCTCCAAAATACACTGTAGAGATAGTTTGTGGGAGGTAAATTCTATCAGCTTTTGTTTATCTGGAAATTGTTTAATCCTTCCTTCAAATTTAAATGATAACCTTGCCAGACAAAGTATTCTTGATTCAAGGACCTTCTGCTTCCTTGCATTGAATATATCCTGCCACTCCCTTCTGGCCTGTAAAGTTTCTGCTGAGAAGTCTGATGATAGCCTGATGGGTTTTCCTTTGTATGTGATCTTATTTCTCTCTCTTGCTGCTTCTAATAGTCTGTCCTTATCCTTGATGTTTGCCATTTAATTATTATATGTCTTGGTGTTGTCCTCCTTGGGTCCCTTGTGTTGGGAGATCTGTGCACCTCCATGGCCTGAGAGACTATCTTCTTCCCCAAATTGGGGAATTTTTCAGCAATTACTTTCTCAAAGACATTTTTTATCCCTGTTTCTCTCTCTTCTTCTTCTGGTACCCCTATAATACAAATATTGTTCTGTTTAGATTGGTCACACAGTTCTCTCAGTATTGTTTCATTCCTAGAGATACTTTTTTCTCTCTATACTTCAGTTTCTTTGTATTTCTCTTCCCTAATTTCTATTTCATTTATTGTCTCCTCCACCGTGTCTAATCAGCTTTTAATACCCTCCATTGTGTTCTTCAATGATTGGATCTCCATCCTAAATTCATTCCTGAGTTCTTGAATATTTTTCTGTACCTCCAGGAGCACATTTATGATTTTTATTTTGAAATCTCTTTCAGGAAGATTTATTAGTTCAGTCTCACTTGATCCTTTTTCTGGTGTTGAGATTTTCCTTTGAACCAGGTTCCTTTGATGTTTCATATTTGTATGTGGCACCCTCTAGTGCCCAGAAGCTCTACTCTCTGGAGCTGCTCAGCCCCTGGAGTGATGTCAGGGGTCACAGGGGAGTGGTGCTGGTGCCTGGGGGGAGGAAAGAGCTGTTTCCTGCTTCCTGGCTGCTATGCCTGTCTCCACTGCCAGAACCAGTGGGCCAAACACACAGGTGTGAACCTCTATGCTTTGTGTTTGTAGCTGCCATAGGTGGGGCTTCCCTCTCGTTGGCCTGACACAGTTTGGGAGCCAGGTATGGGCTAGCCAGGAGGAAGGCACAGCAGGCTGTGTATCACAGTGGGGGGCCTTGGAGCTGCATAGCCAGCCAGGGGTTGGAGTGCCTGAAGATCGTTTAAATTCCCAACCTGCTGGGCAGAGTGCACCTGGACAATTTTGTCTACCTGTCCTTTCTCCTGAGCAGTAAAAATCTGTGCAACTTTTGCCCCTTTAGCAGCCCTGTCGATTTAAAAAGGTCTCTCAGATTGCCCGCCTTTCTTTTGTCCAAGATCAGCCAGATATGAATCCCTGTTTTCCACAAATCACTGGAATCTCCATCCCTCCAGGTATTCCACCTGTCTTAGCTTTCCAACCCCATTAGTCACCAGAGCACCATGCAATGTAGGTTCTTGCTCCCAGAGCAGATCTTCAGAACTGGGTGTTCAGCAGTCCCAGGCCTCCACTCCCTCCCGGCTCTGTTTCTCTTCCTCCTGCCAGTGAGCTGGGGTGGGTGAAGGGCTTGGTCCCGCCAGGTCATACCAGGTCATGGCTTTGGTATGTTCCCCTGTTCTGTTTGTTCCTCCAGGTGTATGCAGTCTGGAGCATTCTTCTTTCCTGTTGCTGTTTCAGGATTAGTTGTATTAATTTATATTTTCATAGTATGTGTGGTTTTAGGAGAAGGTCTCTTCCTCACCTCTCACGCCGCCATCTTTAATCCCTTCAGTACCCAGTGTCTTTAAAAACAATTGTTTCACATATTTTTGTCAGGTTTTTTTCCCCAGTGAATTCTCATGTCCTACTCTTAGTAATTAAAAGAGATCAAAATTACCAGCAGCCAGAGTGTCTGGCCTCACCACCTTATCCCAGGTGTCAGGCTCATGAGTTATCCCTTTCAGGAACTGCCATCCTAGCCCTATGGTTACAGGTACCACGTGGTCTCGGAACAAGTGCACCCAGCCCGAGGGCACAGGGGCTGCTGTGCCCAGGAAGGTTTTTGTCTAATTCACATGAAGGTTCCACATGTGAGGGCAGCCCACCTGAATTCCTCCATCCTGACCTTCCCGTATCTCCTGCAGTCTGTAGGTCCTGGGTGGCCAAACCTGGGGAGTAGCTGCTGCCTTCACATGCAGCAGAGTAGGGTCTTGGGCTGTTTGGAACACAGTCTGTCCCTCAATAACACTGGGCTGTGGGGGCAGCAGGAACAGGTCACTGTACATGTGGCTCCTGGAGCCAAAGCAAATTTACAAAAGCTTCGATAGATGTCCAGCAGTGAAAAATTCCTGACAAGATTTTCCTCTTTAAGTACAACTGGTAAGTCTGAAGCATCATTTGAAAATTTATGCTTGGAGTTATTTTGGTTTTTAGTTTTTGGTGTATGTGTGTATTACTGTGCCCCATATATCTCTCCTTCCATCAATTATAGAGACTAATAGCTCTACTGTTTCCCTTAGGAATAATACCTAAAAACCTTCTGCTAACCCTCCAGACTAACCACCCCAAGCTTAAATACTCCCTGTATTACTCTGCTTCAGCCACCATAACAAGATACTACAGACTGGGTGGTCTAGAGATCAGAAATTTTCTTTCTCACATTGCGGAGGCCAGCAGTCCAAGATCAAGGTGCCCACCGGGTTGGTTTCTGGTGAGACACCTTTTCCTTTCCACTGTCTTGCTGTATCCTTACATAGACGCAGAAAGAGAGAGGTCTCTGGAGTCTCTTCTTCTCATAAGGGACACCAGTCCTACCAGATTAGGACCCCACCCTTGGGATCTCATTTAACCTTCATTACTTCCTGTCTTATTTAAGGCCCTGTCTCCAAACAGAGTCACAGTGGGGGTTTGGACTTCAACATATGGATTTGGGTGGGTTGGGGGAACACAATCCAGCCCACAGTGCTCCTCCCAACAAACACCTCAGCAGTGGGACTGCCATTCTCTTTGCCTGGCATCGGTGTTTACGTTAGCCTGGATCCCCCTACAGCATTTTCATTCTTAGGATGACAGAAGACTCTTTGGGTCCTTGACACTAAGCTAAGAGGGGTGTCACTGCAAGTGGGCAGCCCCTCCAGACAGGACTGATTAGGCCCCTCCCTGGATGCAGGGATCTAGTCCTGGCAAAGCAACTGCAGCCACTGCTGCCTGAGGCCCACATCAGGACAGCCAGTCACAGCAGACTCACTGTCACCAGAATTTACCAAGTTGCACAGGGCAAGCTTGCCCAGGCCTTCCTTCCTCCCCATGTGTCCCCTTCCCCCTTCCTCCTCTTCAGTGGCCTCCCTGCTCCTCCCACACTGACACCTCTGTAATACAGGCAGGGAACCAGGACACAGTATAGCCTGGCAGAGGTTCCCAAACTTGGCTGCACATCAGGATCACCTGGGAAGCTTTCACAAACCCCAGCGTCCATATTATATCCCTTATGGATTAAATCAGAACGTTTCAGGTGTAAAGCAGACATCAGTATTTTTACTGAGGAAACTTGGCTTCCTCACTGTGCAGCCTTGGGCAAGTTGCTTGATCCTAAGTAAAGGTAATTGTAGCATCTGTCTTCTAAGATTGTGGTGAGGGTTAAATGAGTTAATATTTGTGAAGAGCCTAGAACAGTGCCTGGCACGCAGGGTATGTGCTCTGTTGAGTACTATTACACCAGCAGTGCCCTAGAGGAAAATCCTTTACTAACTAAAGAATCCAGGAAGAGCATCAGTATACTAAGTCCCCTAACTCTGAGAGGTGGGAAGAGTGAGCTAACATTTATCAAGAACCTGCTTGGTGCAAAGCATGCATTATTTACTTATTTTAACAATAATTCCTCCATATTAAAATTATTTAGCAGAAGACCAAACCAATGCTTAAAGAGACTCATTCAGGTTCATCTAGTGATGGAGTTGGGATTTACAATGAGGTCTTTCTTCCTTCAAGTTCAGGCTCTTCTGAATCCTCTTCTCAACTAGGCCTCAGCCTTTGGACTCTCATGTTCTTTGCATTGCCCAATTTTAGCTCCTGGTAAGTCAGTTTAGCCAGAATCCCCCACCCTCCATATCCAACCAAACTCCTCACTCCCCACCATCCCCACGATGACTGATCAGCAAGGATCCTACCATGTAGCTTTAGCCAGAATCCCCCTTCACCCTTGGTGTTTCCTTTTAGTAATTTTCCATCCATTTTTATATAAATCTCCACTTATCCATGTCATATTCATAACTGAGCCCAATTCTATATGACGTCTCTTTCCCCCCATTGCAACAATTTCAATTTCTGCATAGAATCTATATTTATCACTTATTGCTTAGCTCTGGTTTTTCTTTGACAATCTACACACACGTGCGTGCACACATGCACAGCTCTGGAGGCTCTCCTCAGGAGCTCCTCTCAGCCAGGCTAAGGAGCTCTCCTTGGTAAGGAACACAGACACAGCCCCTCATCACCAACTAATAAATTAAGACTTTCACAGTGGTGACCATAAACAGCACCCACCGCAGTCTGTTGTGGCCATGCCAGACTTGGGAGGTTCAGCTACGAGTCTCTGGATCTGGGCCAGTGTGCTGTAGGCTTCCTCCATCTCCCTCCAAATGAGAAACACGTCTTCTCTGACCCCGGCTCCTGGGAATGGAAACAGGAAGAGAAAGGCGTGAGCAGGCAGCTGTGGCAGAGCTGAGAACTCTCTGGTAATCACAGCAAGCCTAGCACACCCCAGCCAAGTTTCTAGAATATTTATGAAAGCCAAATTCCACTTTCCCCACTAATTGCCTTCTGAGATCAGGACTGAAATCTCTAAGGAAGGGCTGTCACCTCAAGAAATAATAAATATAGACTGCAGGATGCAATAAATCCTTGTAAAGTAAATATCTGTAGAACCAAAATATTTTAAGATGAATTATTGATAAATAAGATAAAGAATAAAAATATTCAAAGGCACCTAACAAAAGCGAGGGTGAGAAAGGGAAATTCAATAGTATATGAAAGTAACAACCCCTAAATTTTCTTGATTTATCTGAGATTTCCTGCTTTTTTGAAACCATCTTTACAAGTCTTTACTTCCCCCTAATGTAATAATGATTCTTTGGCTTCTTTCTCTGGACCTCTGTTGTCTCCATTAAGGGTTAGGTCTGACCAAATGACATTATTTTATCTCTATTATTTCTTAAAACTGCATGTGAGCCTCCCATTATCTCTCCACACCTCTCAGCCAGAGCTGCTGCACACACGAAGCCAGTGGTGACTCCAAGAAGCAGCTACAGTGGGAAGCTGCCACCTGCTTGCTTTCAGTGGCTTCTATGGGCCCAGCCCCCACAAGGCATCATGGGGGCTACAGAGGAGTCCGTGCTCTGGTGGTGCTTCTATTTAGTTGTCCACACAAGAATGTGGCATATGTATTCTTTAGTTTTAAAAACTCCATTTCAATAAAAAGTGTATTTAAAAACAACACAAAACTCTATTTCACAGCCTAGAGAGCTGGCTCAGAGAACACTGATGATGTTGCCATTAAAGTAAGCAAAGCCCAAATTCTCCAGTGATAAAAACTTTTGGGGGTGCCTGGCATTGTGCTTGGGCCTTTCTAAACATTTTCTCATCTCTCTTCACCACAGTTCTGCAGGCAAATCCTATTCTCATCCCCATTCTACAGCTGTGTAAACTGAGGCACAGCAAGCTGTCCAAGGTCAAACCCTCAGTGAGTGGCAGAGCAGGGAGCGAACCCAAGCTGTAACTGCACTCAACCTGGCAACCCTGACTCGCTGCCTGGAAAAGGGATGGATGGTTATAGAAGGGCCCTGCTGCTTCTCTTTCACTGGCTGATGATTCTTCTTAGCAAGCCTGTCCACAGATGCCTGAGATCCCACAAGCACAGAGAAAGAGAGACCACCATCAGGTCAAGGAGCCACCCCAGGAAATCTGTGCACCCGGGGCCAAAGGACTGACCTCCAGCCACCAGAACAGACCGGGACAGACCAGAGTCAGTGTTTGACTTTTAAAATGTAGTTAAGCAGAGCAGGGCAGAAGTGAAGGGCACCAGCATTCTCTCTCACCCAAAGTTGGCCAGATCACCTAAGAGAATATCAATAGCTGCAGTCATAAAGAAGCAAGAGACAAGTCCTGACAGAGATGGATGACCACCAAGGCTTTACAGCCATCAATAGCCCAAGGAGGGACATGTGATGTGCACCTGGCTCCATGGTACAACTCCAAAAATATTGCAAGCTGCTGCCAAATGCAAACCTTGAGTCCAAAGGACTTTCAGACGGCTAGAAAGCGAAGCTGGCTTCCAGCTGCCTGCTTCAGCATGGAGGTGTTAAGTAGCAACATTCTCTCAAAAATTTTCCATTACCCCCAGTCTCCGTAATATCTTAAGAGTCAGTGTAACACATGTCAGCATCAAAGGAAAAAATTTCCAAGGAAAAACTGGGTTTCAATAATCCAAGGACAGGAATGGTGTTTAAGGAGCAGCAGTGACCTGGGGACATGCTCCCCTGTGAAGGTGTTAATTAGATTATCATTACTAATCTGGGTTAGTTAGGCAGCCACAGATTCCTAAACTGGTGATCAGAAAACAAAAACTCAAAAAGAACTATCCATTTAACTAGGTTTGTTTTAAAAACAAAACCAAAGCCATCTAGTGAACACGAAAACCCACAGGCAATGAAGAGCATGGCACAGAATGCAGAGGTTTCACTGCAGGTGACTCCTCAGGCAGTGGGAGAGCTGCCACTCCCACCAGGGTCACTCCTGAGGGACTTGGCTGGGCCATCAGACAGCTGCAACCAAGGCAGATGGTCCCACTGCAAACAGAAGAGGATGGAGGACAAGGCACCAGAAATTTCGAATTTGAGATTCTCCGGGCTAAACCAGAGTGGAGATGACACCACAGCAAAGCCTTCTGGATCCTGACCACCGAGGTGTAAGCCAGCCAAGGCCTGCTATGCACAAAAGCAGGGTATGGTTCCTCACAGAGACATCCAGGTGACCTAAAAGATCCTCCAGCCCCAAGGATCCTCCCCCTCACCAACCCCTGACATCCCCCATGGGCCACGTGGTAACAACTTGCAGGCTCTCAGAATGCTGACACCAGCTGGGACAGATGTCACGTTAAGCTGTGGGTTTTCACTAGCACCTGGTTCTGATTTCTCAGACTGGTAGTTTGACAAATGAAATGAGACCTGGGTCAGATCCATTTGATGTGTCAGGGGAAGAACCTTGTGAGTACCTGCCACAAGATACCACCTCTCTGTCAAATCTTCGGTGTCTTGCCTGCAGGATAACGTCCAGTTGTCAGAGGCCAATTCATCAATCTATTCATCAGCAAATATTGGTTGGTGGTTGTCCCTGGTGTGGACATGGCCCACACTGAAGACACAGCAGGGAACAGCGGCTCACTCCCTGAACGGGCATTTAAGACCAGGGCACAAGGCCCCATGACACCCTCTGATACCCTGCTGCCATGAACCCTGCCAGAGCACTGTCCTCCCACTGCTCCCCCTCTGGGAACCCACAGTCCTCTGCTGCACTCACCTAGCCCACTCTTCATTCAAGGCACCATCCTGACCTCACCATCAAGCTGTGGCTATCCACCCCAGGACACTGTGATCTGCCTCCTGCACCTTCTCAGTTACTGTGGAATGAACAAGCCACAGCCTCTGTTCTCAGCCCTTTTGTTGCCAGGACCCACTTTCATTAGGTAGGCTGGTGGGATATGCAACTCCTGGCTGCCCGTCACTCCAACCTCCAGTTCTGATGGCCACGAAGCATCAACCAGGAATGGTGCTTTAGTATATGCATGACCTTGAGTCCTGCCTAAGTTAATCAAGCCTGCACAAACAGGTTGCTTTATTTTTCATAGGTAGCTGCTTACAGCACAGCTCACCACTCAGCCATGTGTCCACGGCTGTTCTACTGTGGAGGACTCTGGTGGGCAGCTTTCCTATGGCATCAGCATGCGGTCAGGAGGATCATGTTTGCACGGGCTGGCTCTGCTCACGACACTGCAAACATCTTGAGCATAGAGACAAAGCTTTCTCTTTGTATCCTCCACAGCACTAAGCATAGGATCCACTGCTTTCAGTAAGAAGTCCTATCCTTCCTTGTTTTTATTTTTCTTTATTACAAAGAAACAATGGCGAACACCTACTACCTTCTTTCCTCAAAGGACTGCCCTGCCTCATAACTGACAGCCTTCAATACTGCAAGAAACTCTTCCGAACGGCATGTAACAGACTCTTATCATTTGAGCAGGTGGCCATACCCCAGGTATCCCACACACTAATAGCGATGTGCCCTAAAGCACTAACTCATTTCCTTTTAGACCCTCATGCTACCGCTAAGCAAGGCTCCTCTGACACATCTGAAATGCTAGCATTCCAAGCAGGAGGGGACAGGCAGAAAAGCAACTAGGTGTGGCATGGGTCAGGAAGGACAATTAAATGCAGCTCAGGCAGAAGCCAATGCAGAAATCAGAACCACCCTCAGCAAGCCTGAAGCCCAGACCATCCCCGAGGTTCTCCTGTGGCTCTTCTGTTTGTGGCCTTCTCCGCATCACCCAGGACTCCTGGCTCAGCAGGATGGAGCCCCTGCTGCCTGCCTGAGCCTTAAATTCCTATCAGTTGTAAGTATGGAAAGAGGTGGCTGTAACTATCAAAAGGCAGTATTTTCAGAAAAAAAGCAGCCCAATCTTCTATTTTAAGGAAGCAATACAACATTTAAAAAATAATTCACTATGAGGTGGTTAAAATTTCCACAGACCTAAAGTTACAATATGGATCTGGTGAAAGGGGACCTATCATATCCATAAAGAGATCAAAAGTGGTGAAATCAGCAGTTTTTGTTAGTGGAAAAGTCCCCAGTTACTAGTGTTAAATTATATATTAAGATGACTTGTTGAGAGGTCACTGAACACGTGCTGGCTTGAGCCAGCCCCACGGCCCTAACCACCAAGGCACATGTGAAACTGCACTCAGTCTACCCGGTGGAAATTAATTAATTAAAGCAATTAGAGTTTCATTGCTAATTAATTTAAAGCAAATAGAGTCATCTGGCTAAACGTTTATGCTTTCTTGGGGCAATGAATATATATGTTTCACAAGGACCATGTCTTAAAAGCAATTTCAAATACCAAGTATGGGCAACTTTTAATGGGCAGGTATGTACTATCACCTGGGGCCTAAGTGGAAGACTGTAAAGTGTAATGCAGTCTAATTGTCCCATATTCATATAGTAAACCTGAATATAAGCCACCTCTGTTCTCCCCATGGCAAAGAGAAGCAAGGGCTCCACTACACTCAGCAAGAAACATGGCCCCAGGCTCCAGGTGCTACTGGGCGAGCAGCAGAGAGAGACACGGGCACAGGGAGAGAGAAGCAACATACAAAGAAGAAATGCCAAAAATGCCCGTGAATAAAGCTTAGTTGAATACGTTTATGTTATTTAGAATAGGTATTACCGTTTAAACGACAGCAACTCAAAGGGTAGGCGTTTTAATGAAATGGTAAGTTCAGGGGGCGCCTCACTGAGTCTCTTTTAGAGAAAATTTATTAAAATTTTTGTTTTTCAGCTTTTCCATCCCAGAGAGACCTGAGCTTCTTTCAGTTCTAAGGGACCTAGAGTGCACAAAA